TAGTTGTACGGAGGTGAACCAATTATCGCAAGTGATGTTGCGACAGGTACCATGTATTGGCCTTTTTAACTCCTTCACGAAGTATTCACCTAATGGCATCGTTGAAGTTGTGTAACGATACGGATTTTCCCGTTTCGTTGTACCATAGGCTTAAAAACGCCACTGTGTCAGACAATTTTTAATATTTATTTATTTTATATGTTGACATACAATGCCACTGAGTGTCATACAAGACACACTCCCTTCTTAGAAAATTGCGCCGTCTTTTATATGCATCCTCTTGAACTTTATGTGCAAAGTACACAAAGCTTTGAGTTTCTCTTAGTTAAACTTAATGCACTTTAACACTTTTGCACTAAAGCTTCCTTGTGCATCTTTTTGCAGCGAATTGCATTTTGACGTTTTTGACGTTTGCAAATGTTTGTTTACATTTTTACTTTTTACATGAAAGCGCCGGTGTTAGTAATTTTATCGTGTTTTTTTTTAAATTATTTATAATTTAATTTTATAATTATGAAAAATTATTTATTAATAAATTATTTAAATAAATTTGCGGGGATGAACAAAGAAGGAATGTATTTATTATTTTATTAAGATATATTTCTCTATTTATTACAAATTTATTTTCTCTTAATTTCAGATTGCTTCACGTGTTGCAGTTGCGTGCAGGCTGGGTGACTTTTTGGTAAATAGTTTCTAATAACTATGTTAAATGTTAATTCCTCTATTTTAATTTCAGATTTCTTCGAAATTTATTTAAATTTATGTAGGTTGGAAATTTGTGCAAAATTTCCATCCTTACAGTTGTTGTTGTCTTGTCCAAATATGGCAACAATGTACCTATCTCCACTATAGGTTGTATTGAATAACTCACTAGCTGACAAGTGATTGTCCTTCAATACTGCGGTCAAAGTCAGTATGCTAAGAAGAGCACCAATTTCAAGACAATTTGTATCTGCGAACGTTTTGCTTCTCAAATTAGTTGTTCGTATTAGAGATATCTCTGCATCTGTCCACTAAACTATTTCTGATATTATTTCGTCAGTAAAAAAAGCAGTGAAGGAAGAAATCGGATCACATAAGGCTTTACATGCTCTTGTGAGACCTCTTATTATTCGAACACCATTCATCGATAGAACTCTACCGGCATTTATTCCCTTCGAAGTAGTCCAGCAATATTGGCTTTTGCTTCTTGATGTTGGCTGAAGTACTCTTACTATCCGGCTGTCTAAAGACGACCTATTATTGTTGGTTTCTTCGTGTTCCGGGTCTGGCGATATATTTTCGCGATTTTCCTGTACATTAAGATCTTTATCTTTTGCGTCTTTTTTGATATTTTGGAATATCATTTTCCGATACCACATCTTCTCTTTCACTCTCATTTTCGGTTGACCTACATTCATCTGGATATGTCAGATAAGTAGCTATTTGCGTGTCGTCTAATATTTCATTACTTTCCATTTTGCTTTTATTTACACTTACATGTACTGAATTTAAATAAAAAAACACAATAACTAATAATCACTTCTCTTTCACTCTCATTTTCGGTTGAGCTAAATTCATCTAGACATGTCAGTTAAGTAGCTATTTGCGTGTCGTCTAATATTTCATTACTTTCCATTTTGCTTTTATTTACAATTACATGTACTGAATTTAAATAAAAAAACACAATAACTAATAATCACTCAAAAATTGTACAAGTAGCACAAAACATAAACATACATCTCGGAGACGTATGGCTTGGCAGTATCTCAGAATATACAAATTTTACCACCGAAAATCAACTACCACTGGTAACGACTGAGATAAATGCAAATATGCATACGTTGTGAAAACATTTGTGAGAGAGAGAGAGCAAAATGTAAAAAGATCGTACGCCTCACAGACGTACATTATGAAAGCAAGGTTGAACTTATTATATTTATATATTTATACCGCAGCACCATACTGCAGTCGAGTAATGTACTCTCTTTTACGGTAATGTTTTTAAATACCAAAAAAAAAAATTTAAAAAGTTTTATCTTAAACCAAAATAATAAAAAATAAACAACACAAAAATTTTATTCAATTTATTTATGCTAATTTAAAGCACGGCAAGTGCTTTGGTTAATGTTACTAATTAAATAAAAAAGTGACAAAAAACCTGGAACTAGAGCACTTAAAGTTTGTGTAGTCTCGTCTACTCGTCTACATGGTTAGTCATCGCTTCTAATTTGATAGGCACGAGTTCTAAGCCTGGCACTTGCAGCCCAAACAAATTATATACGGACTATGGTATAAACTAATTAAGAAATTCGATTATTTTCTAGAACCACTATTGATGAGAACTTGGCAATACTCGAAACAGCTTTGTATGGTCAGCCAAATTTCAATAAATTGAATAAAATTTTTGTCTTTGTCCTTTCTTTCTTTGCTATTTGAAAACCCTTTAAATTTTAAAAATAAAACAACCGGATAACCATTTAAAGAAACAAAATTAGCATTTATTTTTAAAAATATTCGTACAGTTTACACTTTGCCAATAGATTAATAACAGCAGTTTTATATTATTTAAACCATACTTTTTGATTTCATTTGCAGTGAAATTCGGTGATAAATTTATATAATTTTCCTACATGCAAGAATTATTGTTTACTATGTTGCGAATCGTTTTCTTCTTGTTCCTTTAACTTTACAACACTTTTTTCCTAGAAAAGATAATATTCAGTAAGGTACATTCATTTTGTTTTAATAGGTTAACCAAAAATACTTTGTATTTGCCCTGTTTGAACTCCTTGTCAGTTTCTTGTGGGCTGTCAGATCCATCAGTTATTTTAATAAATGATGAATAGAAGGATGAGAAACTTGAGCCATCCATATCGTCGCTATTACCATTACTATCAGTATTTGGCTAAAATATACAAAACAATGCATTTAATATTTAGCACTTAATCAAATAAATAATTTCACACTATTTTTATCAAATACATAGTTTCTAAAGAGTGCTTTTGGGTGATTCTTTTACTAACCGGACGGATTTTGGCAAAAAATTATCTCATGATCTACGATTTGGCTGAAATTTTAAATTTTTTATAAGCGCCTTTTATAAAATAAGAAGACCCGTATCTCGGGAAAAGATTTTGCGAAATTTTTCCTACGAGATATGGACCCATGGGGTTTTGAGAATTGGCATTGTAGACATATTTTCAAATGGGTATATCTCAAGTTCTATAAAAGATAGAAACTTGAAATTTACAGCGTTTCAAAGATAATTGATTGTACTTTTATGAAATTGTTTAAGTAATTAAAATTGTTTATATTTGAGTTCTAATATTAATCCTTAAACTTCAAAAAAAAAATTTCTCAAAACTATTATCATATTTTATTTATTTATTTTATTTAGATACAGTTTTAAATTTTACTACGAAATAAAAATTTTCGCACCTACCTTTTTCGGTGAAGTGTTATTTTGCTACAGTTGGAAAAATACTCTGCACAGGTAAGAAATCTATAGGAAATAAAAAAAGGTAAAGGTGTGACTATGTGCTGCAGTTATCTAGATAGTTCGGCTAGTAAGAAACTAATAAACTTTTTTCTTATATAGATGAATTAAGCCGTTTAATTATGATAAAATTCATAATTTAAAAACAGAAATGAAGCGAAACTAATTTGAAATGTTAATATTTTATGTATACATTTATTTTAAAAATAAACAGTAGACATTTTTGTGTAGTTTTTCTTCGGAAATTGATTTAATGGTATTATGGTGCATATGAGCAACGTAAAAACACCTGATAAATTAATTTTTTTTATTTAATTCTAAAAGGAATATCACAGTGGAAGTATTTATTTTTTAAGTAGAATTTGTATATTAATCTGAAGCAAAAGTAAAAAAAAAATTTGTGTGACATAATCCTTTTTTTTTACTGAAAAATCGTGTGTACATGTTTGGTGTGATATGAAAGATAAATAAATTTTTAAAAGTATATAGAATTTAATTACTAATCGAAATCAATAACATTATATAAGAATATTTGTAGCATATTCTTTGAAAATTCATTCAATGGACCCATGGGGTTTTAAGAATTGGCATTGTAGACATATTTTCAAATGGGTATATCTCAAGTTCTATAAAAGATAGAAACTTGAAATTTACAGTGCTTCAAAGATAATTGATTGTACTTTTGTGAAATTGTTTAAGCAATTAAAATTTTTTTTTTTCTCCCGCAAAACACATCAAGCACATGCGTACTACATTTCCATTGAATGAATTTTCAAAGAATATGCTACAAATATTCTTATATAATATTATATTAAATTCTATATACTTTTAAAAATTTATTTATCCTTCATATCACACCAAACATATACACACGAATTTTCAGTAAAAAAAACAGGATTATGTCACACAAAATTTTTTTTACTTTTGATTCAGATTAATACCCATTTAAAAATATGTCTACAATGCTAATTCTCAAAACCCCATGGGTCCATATCTCGTAGGAAAAATTTCACAAAATCGTTTCCCGAGATACGGGTCTTCTTATTTTATAAGAGGAGTTCATAAAAAAATTTCAGAAAAATCGGAGATCATGAGGTCAACAAGGTGTCCGAGTTGTAAAAGAATAACCCTTTTACAATACAAAGTATGAAAATCGTATTTTTTAAAATTTATATTTCAAAGTAACAGTTATTCTTTTTCATTCTGCATATTTTCTATAATAATTTGTCTTAATAAGATTATTGTGAATATGGAATATATGAATATGGTATCTAAAGTGGCCCTTAGACAGCATCGCGTGTTGACAACGCACGAAGTCTTCTCTCGCCATTACACATCAAATTTTACAACAATTTTTTAAACACGCCTCCAGCAAACAGTGCAAAATTTGTTCACTCATCAGTATTAAAGCAATCGCTGAAGTGTCAACAGCGGCTGCTATGCGTAATTTCCATACGAAAAATGATGTTTTACATTTAATTTATAATTTTAAATTATATGTTTATTTTTATAATTTCAATTTTTATATTTATTTTTATATATATTATATTTTATTTAATTTAATTTTTTTTTGGTATATTTTAATAACAAATTTTCTGTCGGTGCACAATGCAATTAATATTTAAAATAAAATATTCATTGTAATTTAATGTTTGGTTATTTATATATTTTTGTTAGCCCAAGGTTATTAATATTTTAGTTCTTCTTAATAACTTGTTTTGGAAATTAAAAAATTTTACCTATTTAGAAAATATAAATATTTAAAATAAAAGATACAATTCATTTATATTTGCAAAGCATCGCATGCTAACGACAAATAATGTGTGCATATAAACGATATTTACGCTTCCATTTCTCAAAATAAATGAAATTTTGCATGCCGACCAAATCCGACTGTATATGCAAAGACACGAGCGTGTTTGAAGAAATATCAAAAATTTTGATTTTCGTCAACGCATTTCTTAAATTTCAAATATTACTATTGCACACACAAATTTCGCATTTCATAAAATAGGAGAAAAGTAGGAGAAAAAATTCTCATGTGTATATACGCGAAAATTCTATTAATTAAGACACAATACTTTAGTTTTTGCGACTTCTTTATTAAATGTGAATCTTGACTAAACTATCTCTAATATTTTTCCCCTTATATATAGGAAGGATTCGAATTATTGAATCCTGATAAGACGCTTCGTTGTTTGGTTAGGCCAAACAACTATTATAAAATATTTAGGATGATAATAAAACCTTTCGTTGTTTGGTTAAGCCAGACAACGATAATAATATATTTAGAACGATAATAAAACCTTTCGTTGTTTGGTTAGGCCAAACAACGATAATAAAATATTTAGAACATTGGTGAAAATCTTTAGTTGTTTGGTTAAGCCAAACAACTATCTTATTATTATTATCTAAACAACAAGTTTAGATAATTAATCTTAATCTTGCTGGAATTGCAAGAAAATGCAATTTCAGCTTTAGTTATTTTAGGCGCTGTAATCAAAAAATGCTTTTAGCGGAAATTAGGTGTCAGGTTTCGTCTGTGACGTAACTCGCATAAAGGGATGAGAGCGACAACATCGCGCGTTGACAACGGGAGATGCTGTCTAAGGGGCCCTTAAGTTATCTTAGAAATAGTTTTCTGAGAATATCAATTAGTTTAGAAATAAATTTTATTATAAATTATTTTAGAAAAAATTGTGTGTTTGTGTTCAACAAAACTAAGAGCAATAAAAAACGGTTACATACAACTTGAGTCAACTATTTAAGTACTTATCGAGATCCAGCGATCGCGACCAACCAATTAACATATATATTTATAGTATTGTAACTAAGTGTATTTTACACAATGTAAATTATATTACACAAAATATTTAGTTCATAAGCTTTTGTTAGTTTAAAATTAATTTATTCTGTAAAACAACTCAAATCCGTTCATTTCATTTTTACATTTGTGTAGATATACAAACGAAAATAGAAAATAATAGGGTTATTTACGAGTTCGAATAACGCGCTCGGTAACCTAGTGACGTATTAAAAGAGCAACGCAGCAACAACAAAATACATATCTAGTGATGTGTTGCAATGTTACTACGTTAGTAAGCATTTGGTTTGACAAACATTTGCGTTGCACTTTTACTCTTTTTTTAATGTTTCCATATTTCTTATACATAAGAAAAAATTTTACTCCGAAAATGTATTTATACTAAGCATTTCGTATGGGCAGCATTTAAAATTTGTTTTGTTTTTGTTTTTGATTAATATTAAATATTGTGTTAAGTGAAGAGCAGGACATTTGGCAAAAATAAGTTATTAATTATATATAATTTTTAAATTAAAAGGATTTAATTTAGTGAATAATGTACAAACAAAAACACGGAAAAGAAAAAATCAAGTACGAAAATGGACAAATGAGGAAAATTCAAAAATATTAGAATATATTTATGCAAACGGACATTTTGAGGTTGTATTTATTTTTTTTTTTTATATAAATTTATTTTATTTGATTAAATAAATTTTTATAAGAGTAACTAGCTAACAATATAATAAGCTAACAAACAATTTTAATCAACAATTATAAAGAATTTAATCAGAAATCACGCAAGTTCATTTATCACGCATTTCGGACAGGTTGCGACCAAAGATCACAACGTTTTAGACGCTTAAAGCGACGTGTTGGCTCTATTGACGCCAGTTCGTTAGCTTCATCATTCGGATGAGAGTACAGTCGCTGCAGGTGCATTCTTGCATTTCGCTGTATTTCTTCCACCACCGTATTTATCCCTAGATCACGATGCAGATCAGAGTTCCTTACGTACCATGGTGCATTTGCCACACCCCTTAATATAACGTTTTGGAATTTTTGTATGGTTTCAACATGTGTGCTGCTAGCGCATCCCCAGAGCTGAATACCATATGTCCAAATTGGTTTCAATATTTGTTTGTAAATTAAAAGCTTATTATGAAGTGACAGTTTCGACTTCTTTCCAATAAGCCATTTGATTGATCTGTATTTTATATTCAGTTCATCTCTCTTTTTTTTAAATGTTCATTCCATCTCAGCTTTGCATCCAATGTCATACCGAGGTACTTAGCCGTATTAGAATGTGGAATTTGTATTCCATCAATGTAGAGGGGCATAAATCTGATATTTCGGTTTGTAAAGTTGACATGAACTGATTTATAGTGGTTAAGTTTTATTTTCCACTTTTCAGCCCAAGCGATAATGTCATTGACAGAAGACTGCAGACGCCTGGCTGCTGTTAGTTCATCATCTCCAATCGCTAGAACAGCTGTATCGTCAGCGAACGTCGCTGTAAACGTCGCTGAGCTCATTGGCAAATCATTTGTGTATATTAAATATAACAAAGGACCAAGTACACTGCCTTGGGGTACCCCAGCGTTGATTTTTTGGAGTTCACTGTAATCGTTTCCATGCTTAACACGGAAGTAACGATTAGTCAAATAAGAAGAAACCATATCGAAATACTCCAACGGAAAAATGTCTCTTATTTTTGTTAGTAGACCTGTATGCCAAACTTTATCGAAAGCCTGGGATACGTCTAATTTTGAGGTTGGATGACAATTTGTTTTTATTATTTTCACAAAACTTGATTCGTTTTAATTATAGAAACCAACAGCCCAAATATATTATAAATTATACTATTAGAAGTGACAAAAATTGATACAACGTGGGACTTAGTAAGATTTAAGATGAGATATTTTAAGCAAAGTTTTGTTAAGGCAAACAATTGGCGCAAGTCTACTGGCGCCGGCTTGCTAGATGACGAAGAAGTCACATCTATAAAAGGTAATTAAAATCAATTTTGTGTTAGTATAAATGTTATATAAATGTTTCCTTTTTGTTTGTAGATAAGGTAAAATTGATGTGTCCATATTATGACCAATTGTCGGAAATATTTGGTGAGAAAGCTTGAAGCAACGAAATTGCTTTACAATCTTCTGCTATGGTATGCGACAAGGAGATGTCAGTGCAAGAACTGAATAGTACCAGCGAACGAGCAGGCGTTGAAATAGCGAACAGCGAAGAAGCAACACCATTTAGCACGATATTTGATGCAGATATACTGACAGAAAATACTGTGTAACAGATCACTACTAACAGAAGCGAGGTTAACACACAAAAAAAAACTACACCAGGGAGGATTCGTTTCGAAAACAATTTAAGACGTAATAAACAAACATCCGCCATTCAGGAACTAAACGATATTGAACGCAAACGAGAGGAGTTCCAAAATCGGAAGCTTCAACTTGAAGTAGAAAAATTCGAGTTTCACAAAGAATTGGAACTAAAAAAATTGCGCATGAAGGAGGATAAGATGAACATGAGATTCAGGCTAAAAGAGGAGAAGTTAAAGCAAAAAGAGAAATTGGCGATATATGAACTGGATTTAAAATATGGCAAAGCGAACGATAGCTAATTTTTCAATTTTATTTTGTCCTAACTAATTAATGATTCAATTTAGTTTTAAGTTTTAACAAATATTAAAATTTAATTTTATTATTTTTAATCTATTAATGATAAGTTCGATACACTTAGTGTATTAGGTTTAGTATATATAGTATATAAGTTGAGTACTTTTGAACTTTTTAATAACATTACCTCTATATATTTAAATTTTACTGTATATTTATTTTTTAACATTTTTTCATATTACTCTTACTTTTACTTGTATTTTTTCATTTTAAAAATTATATTTATGTTTTCACTATTTTAAGTTTCTTATAAATATGAATAAAACATTTGCAAATTAATTAAACATAAAATTGTAAATTGACTTTCTTTTACTTTCATATGCACTAGATTCGTTGTTATAGAGTAACATATCAGGAAGATCTTCCTCTGCAGAAATATGTATTTCTTCACGGCTTTGACTTTCAAATTCAGTAAGCAATATGTTGTGAAGAATACAGCACACAAGTATCCTTTCACAACAAAATTTATGACTTTTGTTATTTTTAATTCGAACTCTTAGTTCTTTCAAGCTACAAAAATTTTCCTTCAATAACCCAAAACAATGTTCCACCCGAACTCGATATTTACTATGGCGTTTATTGAACTGAATTCGTTCTTCACTGGTAAGTTGCTGTGAGTTTCTTCTATATGGTGGTATAATGATATCAGACAACGGATATGCGGAGTCACCAGCAATCCATGATTTTTTTTTTTTTTTTTTTTTAAATATCTATTTTATTTATTGAATCTCTTTTATAAGAAGATTTACAATAAGTATTCAAATCTTAAAAAAACTAAAGCAAACAAATGAACTGACAATTATAACTGCAGTTAATTGATAATAATTAAAGTTAAAATTATTTCATGAAAAGCAAAGAATAAAGAAATAAATAAAATAAAATAAAAAATAAAAAATAAACGAAAAAGAAAAATAAAAGTATATTAAATTGAAGTAAATTAAAGTTTAAATAAGGTTGATAATAAGTAAATGTATAAAGATAGAAAAAGGAATCAGTGCGTTGGTACATCTTTTCTGCGTAATCTTGACGAAGACCGCGTTAGCAATAGATTCCTTGCAAGGTGGTTCGGATGAATTTCAAGTTTTTGTTTGTATTTGCATTTGATTTTAGTGAGTTCATCTTTGATTAGTGGTATTTTCAGATCTTCATGAATTTTATCACTTCTTATATACCACGGAGCCCCAGTAATTATACGAAGGATTCTGGATTGAGTACGCTGAATTAACTCAATGTTGGAGGAACATGCATTACCCCATAATTCAGCGCCATACTTCCAAATTGGCTTAAGTAAACTATTGTAGAGTAACACTTTGTGGTTTGGTCGTAACTTGGAATTTTTATGCAATAACCAGTGAATTTTTTGCGTCTTAAGTTTTATTTGCGTTCGCTTAGCTTCTAGATGTTTACGCCAAGTTAGTCTCCTATCCAAATGAACACCCAGATACGATACGGTGTTTGATTGCGGAATGGTGATGCCGTTGAAGGTTACTGGGGGACATGTATCCTTACGTAGGGTAAATGTTACATGTGTGCATTTACTTTCATTTACACGAATGCGCCAGTTGGCTAACCATGTTTCAATGAGTTCGAGGTGTTCAATTAAGTCCCTAGATGCTATGAATCTATTTTGGTGAGAACTAAGGACAGCAGTGTCATCAGCAAACGTAGATGTCACAAGACGAGAGTTGCTTGGTATATCCGAAGTAAACAGGATATAAAGTATTGGACCTAGAACACTGCCTTGAGGAACTCCAGCCTTTATGTCTAGATTAGCTGTTTTATGGCTTCCAACTTTTATATGGAATTTCCTGTCCTGAAGATATGACTCTAGTATTTTGTGAGAGTAGTCAGGAGTGAGTTCCTTGATTTTATAAATAAGTCCAGCGTGCCAAACCTTGTCAAAAGCTTGTGCTATATCAAGAAATATAGCAGAGCAGAATTTTTTATCTTCAAATGCTTTCCTAATCTCATTTGTTATGCGATTCACTTGCTCGATGGTGCCATGTTTGGCACGAAAACCAAATTGGTGGTGAGGTATTATGTTATTTTGCTGTAGATATGTTGTTATCTTCCCGAGAAGCATTCGTTCAAAAAGTTTTGACAGCATTGGTAAAAGACTTATTGGTCTATATGAAGACTTTAATGTTAAGTTTTTTCCTGGTTTTGGAATCATTATAATTTGTGAAATTTTCCAGCTTTGAGGAAAGTACCCAAGTCGAAGTATTGCGTTAAATATTTTTGTCAGTATTTTGAAAGCTATTTGAGGTAACTCTATTAGCATTTTTGCTGTAATTTGGTTATATCCTGGGGACTTGTTGACACATAATTGGGTTTTTGCAACCTGTTGAATCTGTTTGGTTTTGAGTTTAAGACGCCCATAACTGACTAGAGGAGATTGAATTGGTAGTTCAAAGTTATTGGTCGGAGGATTTGGAGCACTCTCCTTAGGTGTTTTTAATTTCCTTACCGATCGCCATAGGGAATAATTCGTACTTTCTGTAGGTGTTAACTTTCGTACGTAGGTGTTTAAACTATTTTCCATCTCTATGAGCAATGCTTTTTTTAGGCGTTGTTTAGCTGCCAAAAACTTGAATTTACTTGTAGGTGATCTATGCTTTTGCCACATCCGTCTCAGATGTCTTTTTTCTCTGACGATATTTTCAATTGCATCTGAAGACTTTCTTGTAGATCTAGTAAAAGTTATCTTATCAGTAGGAGTAGCGTGCTTAGCAGCCAATTTTAAAACTGTGTCAAATCCATTAAGAGCCGAATCGATTTCACTTACACACTGTAGAGATGGGTTTATATCTAAGTGGCTACTAATATATTGACGATATCTTACCCAATTGGTTTTCTTTGACGTCAGTTTTGATGCGCTTTGATTGTTTATAGGTACCTTAAATAAGGTTATAAAAACTGGAGAGTGATCGGATGATAGTTCGAAGCTAGAGTGCGCAGATATTAGTTCGCTGTCAATATTTTTCACTACACAAAAGTCGATTAGATCTGGTATTTTTTTGGGGTCAGATGGCCAGTAAGTGGGTTGTCCTGATGATATGAAATCTAAATTGTTGCGGCGATTTGTAATGGTAGAGTAGAGTTGCTTTCCTTTTGGGTTTATTAGACGGGAGCCCCAGTATGTATGTTTAGCATTAAAGTCTCCCGCTGCTATAAATTTTTTACCGAGATTATAAAAGAAATCCACGAATTGAGCTTCTGTTACAAGAAATCTAGGAGGACAGTAGACAGCACTGAGCACGACTTCATCTTCAATGAATTTAATGCATATTGACGTAGCTTGTATGTGGGCTGTGGAGTGCTGTTCTAGGACGTGATGCTTAATTCTTGAATTAATTAGAATTCCTGTTCCCCCGTGGGGCTTATCTTCAGGATGGTTTGTGAAGTAAAAATTGAATCCAGGTACAGAGAAGTTGTGTTTACTACATAGATGGGTTTCAGATATTAGAAAAACATCAATATTGTGGGACGACAGAAAATTTATGATTTCAAGTTTGTGCTGGCGGATGCCGTTGGCATTCCAGTGACACATTCTAAGACAGTTCATTTATTAGCTGAAAGAAACTGCATCATTTGGTTTTGAGTTTTTACTATATCTTGCACTAAGTTTTGCATTGAGGCCATAAAGTTCGTCATAAGCTGGGTAAGAGTTATTAGCATTGATTCTAAGTTTTGATTGGGGGTTACTGAATTTTCAGGAATTTGTTTAACTAAACCATTTTTTAAGACGGCTGAGTATGAATTAGCTGTTTCAACTTCTTTTGTGATTGCTTGGTTAATATTGACTGGATTTTGTGGAATTATGGATGGAGCATTTGGTACCTTTTCGGAGCGAGGGATAGCTTTATTCTTAATTTCGATATAAATTGGACAGCCACGGTAGTTTGCAGTATGATTACCACCACAGTTGTTACATTTTCTGGAATTTATGTTGTTTTTATCTGTACTGCATTGAGTTGAGTGGTGAGCACCACCGCAGGCCACACAAACTTTGCGCAGAGTACAATAACTTTTAGTATGCCCAAATTCCTGACAGTTTAGACATTGCACTGGAGTTTTGCGTTTATGAGGCTCCTCCACTGTTATCTTACGGTTTAGCAAGAAACGCAAGTGGTAAATTGGATGAATCTCGTTATTTTTTAATTTTTTAGTATCTGGTTCTAATTCAATTTTATATAAAGGTTGAGGAATTTTATCTTTGTTTTTTATGTTAAAAACTGATTTTACCTCAAAGCCAGCATTTTCAACAGCAATTTTTATTTCTTCAGTATCAGCATTCGGTTCGATGCCTTTAACAACTACTGCTATTCCCTTGCTACTTTTGAGCTGATAAGTATAAAAATTTTTGGAGTTTTCCTTTAAATAGTCGTTAATCTTACGGAACTGGTGTTCGGTTTCAGTTTGTATCTTCGTTTCTTCAATTGCACCTCTTTTAAGAGGAGTAACGTAGAAAGACTTAGAGTCAATTAATTTAGTAAGATTGTTGACAAGAGTATTTGAACACTTTTCGCGTAAGTAAATTGGAGGTGGATGGAAAGTTTTTATTTCTGATATATGGTCCTTTTCATAATTTTCAATAGCGAGCGCGGCAAAGCGATTACCATATAGAGAATTATCACTTAATTTTAATTGTTTTAAATTTGACTTAGACATTTTTTGTGGGCTCAATTTTCTTTTTATGTTAACGTAGCGGTCCATACCAGTCTGTATGACCGCACTTATTTGGTTATTTGTGTTCGCTGTAAAAGTGGAGCTTTTGTGAGCGAGCTTTTTTGTGCTTATATGTGGTGGTGGTCAATCAAGCAATCCATGATTGATTAGAAAAAAATCGATCTTTTTCTTTTAAAAGTATTGAGTTCGAAAAAACTTTAGCATCGTGAGTCGAGCCCTCATAACCAACAACAACATCTCTTATTCTTAATTTGTA